AAGTCTCTCTCTCTCTCTCTCTCTCTCTCTCTTAAATACACACGTGTGGGAAGGGGCCAATCACCTAAGACGGTATATTAGCAAATCGATAGTATCTTATTCCTTCGATTACTCTTACTAAATTCGTCTTGTAGAATTTCTATGGAGAGTAACTTCGGAGATCATTTGATCACAACGAATTCCATATGTAGTATATCCTCTAGGTGCAAGGTCCATATTCACCACTTAGTACATTCCCTAGGTACACATGGTTCTCCGAGCTAACACCTCATTATCAAGCACCTAATCAACTTGTGCAGGTGTTCCAGCTGCTTCCTCGTGATCTTCGATAATCAAAATGGTAATTCAATGCGACTTGAAGCCTCGGCAGCTCAACCGCCTTCTCACGGAGTCTGAGAGCATAGTCAGCTGATGTGAGTACACACAGCCTCAATTGACGCCTTCATGAGGTGCAATCAGTCGATGTTAACATGCACCAGTAGCCGGCTCTGCTCTAAAATGGAATTCTCTCGAATAGCAACTAGCAACCTTTAACCGGTTATCGGGGGCAGTGCATATTTATTTTGTCAAGAGGATACCCACCTGTCAGGGCCCATGCGACATAGGGAATATCTGCTAAGATTTGTGTGCTTATATGTAATGAGTAGAGTGTATGTTCACAAACACTCTCATTTTAAGGGTAAGGCATTGCGGGACTCAAGAAGTATATCGACAAAGATAGCACTTGACACGGGACGATTTCGATATTCTACTGTCTGGACCCATCAAAGCCGGAAAGAAGGGTTATTTTGGATAGCGTGCCTGACGGTTCATGACGAGCGGGCAGTTGTCTTCAGATACTGTAAATACACTAGTATCACAATCTTCAGCTTGATATTTCAAGAATTAAGAACTCTAAACGACGGGATATGGGAGAGGTCATACCATACATAGCCGATTTGCTCTTTAGAAGTTTTCGCCTGGTTTCAAGCTTATGGATGCCCTTCGATGTTCCCTACAACCTAGGTCTTCAAAAGATTCGACCATATTGAACTCGAGAACAAGCTGCATCACAAATAGGAGCTGTATCGAAAGACGGCCAAATCTCGAAGGGAGCGTTGAGTTCAAGTCAGAACACGGAGTCAAACTTCTCCAGATAAGTTGGGCTATAGAGCCAACGCTTGGCTGCCGATCATCAACCCTGGACCCAACCTCCTGGCCAACGAAAGTTCTGTAGGTGGCATCATGGTGGGAAGTGCGTGATGGTAGGTGTGTTCAAAACATAACCCTAGAAACATATGATGGAAAGTACAAAAATGCCCTTCGAGCTGTGTACGAAAAGAGGACCTTGAAGAGGAAGATTATCATGGTGTGTATATAATGGCACGGGAAACATTCATGATGCACATTCTTCCTATTGATACTGGCTAATCATGATATTGTACAGCATATCAAACAACCCAACAAGCATGAGAAATACAAATGGCCACCCCCATGGATAATCACAATTGATAGAAGATAGCAATCAGCCTGGGCGTGAACTAGTTGCGATCGTTGGGTGGGAGAAAATCATGGTAAAGCTACCACTGTCACTGTTTGGGGTTTCGGTTCTGGCTATTCATAACATCTTCGGTCATTTCAAGAAACATCGCATAGCATCACTGTGCCGCAGGGTTGGCCATCAGGGTCGGGAAATTTAGTTCGCATCGGTGGTCAAGTAGTATGCAGGAAAGTGATCGTCTTCCGGGATGGTTTCTTCAGATGGAACTGTCTGGTCAATTGAAAGCCAGCCATTCTGGGCTGCAATTTGCTCCTCTTCGTACTGGCTGTCATAGAAAGGGGGCTTCGAGGGGGCCTGCAGAGGGTTGAATCGATACCCAGCCTTGTCAAAGCTGTCATACGGATCCCCAAGATCAGAAAGGTATGCAGGGCCGAATCCAAAGTCATCAGGGTCAGTGCGTTTAGCGAATGGGGAGTGCCAACCAGGGGGGCCAATTCGGCCTTGGGGGTTCAGAATAGGCTCGATGTTTTCTTTGTCGAGGGATATGTGCCCAGTTCTCGAGGCATGAATACCGGTGTTCGTCTTTCCGTTCAAAACAAGGCGAGTGGGGGTCAGTGTGTCAAATTGCGTTCTGTATTCCAGTTCCTGATAAAATGTTTTGCCATCGTCTTCTTCTTTTTCTTCATCAACAAAGACGTCGAAGCCACCCCTCGGCCGTTTGCCAAAGGTATTGACAGTAAAACCAAACTCGTCATCGTTGCCAACATAAGATTGAGCACGGTCTACTGCGCGGCGCGAGCGGCGGGGGGATTTTCGCTCTTCTTTGACTGATTCTTCAAGTTTTTTGTGGTCTCTCTCGGTTTTTTGTCGCTTTCTGTCCACAGCACGGGGCACGTTGGGGTCTGCTGTGGTCAAACGAGCAATCCTGGTACGAGTGAGGCCTCGCCTGGGGATTGGAGTCTCCCCTTTCAGTGGGCTGTATTCCTCCACATTGCCCGTGATCACACGCTCCTTCAACATGGTTCCATGTGGGGAAAAGACCAGTTCGGTTGGCTCCACAAGCGAAGAACCAAGTTCCATCATCTTCAACACAGTACTATCCTTCTTCTGGTTGCGCCGACGACGCATCTGCGCCGTTGCGGAATCAAAAATATCCATGCCTGGCCATAGAACTCCCTTAAGTCTTGCAATTTCTTCGGCCCGAGCCTTGTCCATCTCAGCGTCACCAGACGATGTCTGAGTCTGATCGCCAGAGTCGATGAAAGGATCAGAGTTATCTTTGCCGGAAGTCCAGGTTCTCTCCAGGGGGTCCGGTTTACGTCGGCACTGTATCGATGTCATCGGCAAAGCCAACGATCGGGTTTCAGTGCTAGGTCCAGAAGCATCCACCGGCTGCAGGAAGTTTGACTTTGTGCCATTCAAGGATCGCATCGAGCGAAGGACCGGACCCGTTTGAGCTTTTGCGTTGCTGTTCGCCGTAGACAATCTGTTTGGAGTAGTTGGCGTGATGGTTTGATGGTGCTGTTTGTCAATGTGAGAATCGGCTAGGCGAGGATCGAGGCAATCAGGAACTGGGGTGCTTGTAATTGTGCGAGTGCTGGAGCCCTCAAGCTCGACATCGGATGCTTGGCTTTTTGTGCGTTTAGTGGTCTGGGAAGACGATGCTTCATCAGACTTTCTTTTCTTCCGAATTTCTTTGCTAGCCATGCGAGCAGCCAGCTGCTTCGCGAAGCCATTGGCGTCGAACCAGTCGTCGTACTGCTTGAGGAGCTCGATTGCGTTGGGATCATCAGTGCGGAGCTTGAGCTTGAAGTGGTTGGCTAGGTGAGCCTTGGAGGCAGCATGTGTCAACAAGTGGGAAACATCGCTGAACTGGGGCTGCCCAGGACAGATGCTGCACAATAGGATGGTGTCATCCATGATGCAAGCCCTGAAGGAAGCAACAAACGAATCGAATGAGATGCAAGAGGAAAGGGCAAAACAACCAAACTGTCGAAGCCAAGAAAGTGGGTGTTAATGGGGGTGGTGAAGGAGCGATGGGGGAAGAGGAGTCGTTATAAACACATCCACAAGGCGGACGATTGTGACTCTCTTCCTTATCAATTGTCTATTGACATCCGAGGAAGGAGCGTCTTTGGGTCACGGGTAAGTCACGGGACGTTATTGTCCAAACAACTTTCATTCATTTCTTCATCAATATCTTAAGGTACACAGTGTGTATACAATGTGTATGTACCACGATGTCTTAACAGCTCTTTGGCCATTGTAGGGGAATCTGAAGCGGAGTAAGTCAAAATGGTCATGCCCGCATTGTATCCCATGGTCCATAGAGAATAGAACACTGAGCTATTAGATTGCGGGAGGTTTCCACATGGATCAATTGATGGATGATAGATCCACCACCCATCAATCAATTGATGAATCATCCCGCAAGGCATTTAGCAGTGATCGACCTGGGCATGCAGCTATTCATTCAAGTTAGCAAATCTATTAGTAGAATATCAGATGCATCCTAGCTCACTAAACAGCATCGATCTCTTGAAGGCCATTCAACTTCAATAAGCTCAGCCCCGCAAGGCTGAAGTGTGTGTGGTATACATCTACCATGTTTCCTGGTCGATCAGCAAAGCCACCAGCATCAGGGTCCTAAATAATGGTTAGCAATAGATCCCACCCCACGATGTAGATTTAACTGACTTGGCATTGTAGAATAAATGCGGCGAGTTTCTCGCCATCGATCCAGTGCAGACGGTCAATCATGGCAAGGCTTGATCCAACCCACCAGCTGTAGCACGCATCTGCAAGCTTTTCTGGTCGACCATTGAAACCGCCGCTTTCGATTTGGCGCTCACTGAGCCAAGCTCCGAGGCGATCCTTATTCACCAAGTCCAAGCGGCCAGCGATGGCCAACGCGCCAATGCAAGTGAATACCTGGCCAGCGTGAGACTCGGCACCGGGGCGGATACCATAAGCTCCATCCAAGTTCTCACAACTCTGAACGTGAGAAACGGCTTTGGGGACATCGACCAGGTCCATTAGACGTAACAGTGACAATGCATTGAGGGCACCGTATAAGAAACGGGTATCTGTTTCGCCCCATTGGTCCCCCATGAAGGAGCCATCTGCATTCTGTAGGTTTGCAATGACTGTAATGGTTCAGTAGACAATTATTGGCATCAGTGAATATGAGAGATTCCCGTACAAGATCCAACTTTCTCCTTGCCACCTCGGCCCCGCTTGTCAAGTTCATCAACAGCATCAATAGTTATGAGGATTTGAACGGCAGAGACGGTGTACAACATATGGGCATCATGACCTGGGGCAGCACCGAAGCCTCCATTGTCATTTTGGCACGAGAGAACAAAGTCGATGGTCTGATCTCGAGGTAACGTATCCGGATGACCTAGGATATGCAGGGCTGTGAGACCCCAGTAAACACCATTTAGTCGTAGGTGCTCGGTCAGCCAATATTCTAGCTCATCTCTCCTCTATGTTGGTCAATCTTCACCATTCACTCATCATTTTCTTTTTCAAGGAGCACGCACAGTGTCCAGGTTCTTGATGTAAGTCACATGCTTTGAGGCGTGCAGTTCAGAGTCTGCGGGGCTACCCCCGGCTCTACCAGGGCCCGAAACTAGAGCCATTTCTTGGAAGAATGGGGGTGGCTGCTCAGAAGACGGGCACTGATTGGATAGGGATGTGTAGGTTCGTAGAGGAACAGAGAGCTTGTGAAACTATTACCACAAGGCGGTGAAGCTACAAGCTGGATCATTTATGCATCCATAACTAATTACTTAGTCACTGCACACATTGTGGCTTGACTTTTGGAGGATTGAGTCCGTGCGTCCCCACGTGATAGGCACGTGCCAGTCTCGGTTAACAATAATTCTTTCGATTTTTATAATCCACCTGGGCAAGCGCTGAAGTTTTTGTTACATTCTGCTATACTCCTATCCTCGGTACTGATTGGTAGAAACCTAAAAAATATCCACTCAGCATGTCCCGTGCACCACGTTAAAAGCACTGTCATCCCCAAGGCGCTAGTTTGACATCTCCAGCCATGTTTCAGATTGGATGGAACCTCAAGTTACAAGGATGCAAAATAGGTGGGCGGTGTACAAGCGAACCTTGGAAAAGCAGTGTCAAGCAAAAAGTGTGCTAGAAATTGGATGCTGCAGAGCATTCATATAAAATACAATCCAACCCAATTTTAGTCTATCTACAGGAGCCGGTGCCCCGGAGCGTTGTCAGCGTTGTAGCTCCAAGTCTTCCCAGGATACACAAAAGTGTGTTTCTTTCGGCCATCAGTGTACACCGTATCACAGTTGTAGGCACTGGAAACCCCTTTCTTACAAATGTCACTAAAACAGGATATCTCCACTGTAGTAGAGACAGTAATCCATGGTGTGAGAGGTCTTTATCGGTAAGCGGGAGTATGGGTTCCAAGGTTGGACCGAGACCAGGCTGAATTAATTAATAAAAGTGGACGCAACACACGGACACAGACGCGATTGTGCGTTTCTATAGCGTTTAACCCCTGATGTATGAATAGGTTTTCATTCTATGCGTTGTCCATAGATAATGATAACTTTGTTGGATTTACTTACTAAGATGGGTTTTCGCGTATAGATCGTGAACTAGATGTATAGAGAGATGCTGCTACACAGGTGCACATGCAACCATCAACAATCCAAAGCACAACCATGGATCTTCCGGCAAGGGAAATCAGGTACTAATTTTTGGTACCATTGTACTGTCACTGGTTCTTCAATTAACCAATGACAGACCACAGTGACTGTAACGTAAGGCAACACATTCCGTGGCTCTGACCTACAAAAGTGGAGAGCTCCGATCGTTCGTGTACTCCGTCTCCGTACGGAGTACGGAGTACAGCCCACTAAATCGTATCAAGTACCTTTGGACTCGACAAACTATACTCCAATCCTGCATAGTTGTGCCTGAGAGGTTTGTTTTGGGTAATGCGAGCCAATGTCAATTGAGTAAACCTAAGTGTTATAGAAGTTGATAATGATGGACCTTGATGGACATTAAAAATGCTCCTCCACCGTCACAGTCGGATCATCCCAAGGTTCTCAAGGTGTTCCTTGGGTCGACAAAGTGACATTTCAGGGGGAATCAGATGGGAAATTTTTCCCAAAAAAGAGGTTAGGTTCCACTCTTTTTTTGGTGCTGCATAGAATTTATAGAAATCATAGAGATTATACGGAGTAGAATTGATTAATTTCCAAAGTAGGAAAAGGAACGGTTTCAAGTTCTCAAAAAAGCAATCTATTCAGGGCTATAATATTTGATATGATCTAATAATTATGACTTCTATAATACTAGCGTGGCTTGTCTGATGGTCTTTGCTCGGACTAGTGTACCGCTAAGTCTATTAGGAGAGAACTTGGACTGGCGCCTTCATTTGTTTACAGTTCTTCAATTCTTCACCTCTGACAACTCCTACATCATATATGATACCCTCTTGCAAATTGAATTCTTTCCTCTGACCTTGATCCACCAAAAGTCCTATCTCGCCCCTTCCACCCTGCCGATCCCCGAACTTCAAAGCGCCTAAAAAGAGGGGGGGGGGAAGTGAACTTGCACGGAACAAGTCCCGGTCTCACAAACCTGGAGACATCGGGTGGAAACAATTGAAACCATATCATGAGGACTTTGGTAAGTGATCAGCTGAATCAGGCAAACATGTCTTCAAAGTTTCTGCGATCTCGTTCCTGGCCTTGTCTGTCAACAAAGAGTCGAGGTGTGGCTTGCTTTTAACATGGGGTTTGCCTGCATATGTCACCTGCGGTCTCGCTTTTTGCTTTCTTTTTTTTTCACTTTTCTACTTCTCCTGTCACATGTTGCTGATTTTGCGCTGACCCTATAACTGGCGCTTCAGATCCCACATCCTCGACACTTCGTTTAATTCATACTACTTTTGTCATCACACGTGCCGTTTAGTAGACAGCATTACCTCTCTCCCAGTACTACTTGGCTTCGAAAGTCGCTTCGCCCCCCACTACACGGTCAGACCTCGAGCATTGATGCCCGTACGAGCCTCTCAGCCGCATACGTGACTTGGGTTTCAGCGCTGACCAAGTACACATCTAGCAGCCCAAGGACCAATTCATATTCATCTGAAGCTCTGACGGGGCATACAACCCACAAAACCTTGACCACCCGAGCTTTCGCATATTATCCTGGACCGGGTCCAACTGCCGCTCAACATGCCAAACCGAACTTCAACAGTGCCCAACTTCGATCTTATCTCGCGCAAGACCGAATCGAAGAAAAAGAAGACATTATCACCTGCGACACCAGGTGACCACAATTCTGACGGACTGAGCCCCTTAAGACCACGTTCGCCCAAGTCCGAATCGAGCTCTCCACCTTTTAAAGGCGCAACGATTCGCCCTGTCGCGCAAGACTCCGACAACAAGGCAACCGGCTCTAATCTCTCACATTCTCCTAGCACAGGCCCGGCGGGGCCTACTACACCCAGTATCACAGCCATTCCTCAACATTTCCCTTCTCCCAAAGACCCAAGGCATGCGCGCGATGCCTCGAAATCATTCTTTGGTAACCTCAAAGCACCCAAATCATCACACAAGGCACAACGCTCAGATAGTTCGGAGAACTCCACCGAACATTCCAAGAGCAGAGGCAGCTCCATAGAACGGAAGACACCAATGGCTTCGAAACAATACGAGTCAACGCCTGATCTTCCAGGGGCACTTGCCCGTGCGAACGGAAACGAAAGGACTAGTTGGTTTCCCTCGCCAAAAAATTGGATCACGTCTGACAAAATAACTACAGATGGAATCCCAGGCCACAACAATTCGCAGCAAACAGGCGCCAAGAAAGTCGCTACAGATCTAGAGTCTGCCATGCCGAAGAAAAACAAACAACGATTTGCAAACCTTTTGACCCGATCTCGCTCCATTCGAGTTGACGACTCCTCTGGAACCAGACCACCACGCCGACGCCCCTCTACTGGTCTAGGGAAACTTGAAGAATTCGGTCAAAGCGCACCGACGAACGCGAATCCACCCCGCTGTGCGACTGCGACTACGCCTGCGCGGCCTGAACGCACCATCCAGGGAGGTTTGCGGCCTCCTGAGCGCTACGCCGACACCTTGTCTTTGCGAAAAGAGCGTAGCCATGGTAACATGGTTCCATCGGGTTCGCTGAATCAAGTTTCTGGCGCCTCGGCTACTATATTCAGCAATCTGAAGTCTTCATCAAGCGGCACTGCAGATCGTATTGGCAAAGCTGGGAAAGGGTTCTTTAGCAAGATCACTCGCAGCGGCAGCACCAACGAGAGAGAAATGATCACCGATGACTCTTACATATGCTCGGTGATCAACCTCCCGCTCATTGAGCAGGCGAGAAAGACCCGCATTGCGAAGAGGATTGAAGATTGCCGAGACAAGACCGAGTTCTGGATGCCTGCCTTGCCATACCGTTCAATTGATTATCTAAACTTTAAGGGTTGTGAGGAAGAAGGCCTTTACCGTGTTCCTGGTAGCGGCAGGGAGGTCAAGCACTGGCAACGACGATTTGACACAGAACTCGACGTCGATCTTTTTGAAGCCAAGAACCTCTATGACATCAATACGGTTGGATCTCTCTTCAAAGCTTGGCTTCGTGAGCTTCCGGATGAGCTTTTCCCCAAATCGACGCAAACGATGATTGCTCTGAAGTGCGAAGGCGCCACGACAGCACCCCAGCTACTTAAAGACGAGCTCTCTAAGTTACCACCATACCATTACTACCTCCTTTTCGCCATCACCTGCCACCTCAACCTTCTTCACTCATACGTAGACCAGAACAAAATGGACTACCGGAACTTGTGCATTTGCTTCCAGCCCTGCATGAAAATCGACGCATTCTGCTTCCAATTTCTGGTATGTGACTGGAAGAACTGCTGGCAGGGATGCTGGACCGAGAAAGAATACCTTGAGATTGAGAAAAAGATGGACGCGCGCGACCTGCGGGTCTCAGTAGAGCTGGAGGCTGCCAAGGCAAAAGAACGAGCCTCTGCCAGCCATGAACGTGCTATCTCATCTTCCAGCAGCAGCGCTGGAGAGGAATCTCGGCAGCCTTCTCGGCAGCCTTCTCGTGAGCCACCTCGCCCAGAAATCGATCGCCCAGAAACCGATCGCCCAGAAACCGCTCGCCCAGAAACCGCTCGCCCAGAAACCGCTCGCCCAGAAATTGCTCGCCCAGAAACTGCTCGCACCCGAAAGGCTCCGCCGAATAATATCGAGACGGCACACAACCGGAGCATCTCTCAGCTTCCCGAGCTTGGCCCGCCTCTTTCTCCTATCAAAATCTAAATCTGATAGACGCTTTCCTGGCACAGAAGTGTCTCGGACGAGAGTAGCGGACGAGAGTAGCTTCACGTCGCTGTCTACATTTTATGACCTGCTTCCAATTTGGCTGGCCCGATTTCCGTTCTATCTGCAGGACCAGATAGGACTGGACAAGTTGTTTCAGAATGGCATTTCCTTCCTCCACGACCACTTTTTCCTCTCCCCATACCTCTGATATGATACATCCATCGCCCGCTAGCCGCATGGTTCATTGACATCTCCATTGGGCTTTGGTCCCAACCGCAAATTGGGATCAAATGCCCCATCAACATTTCTTTTCAATGTGTACATCTTTGCTCTCTTGGCATTTACTCTGAAAGTGGCGAATGGCCGGCCGTTTCGTTTACTCCTGCCATTTTGCTTGCTTGGCTTGCATCTCTCTCTCTCGTTTCGCTGTCTCTTGTCTATTTGGAAGCGCACAAATCTCATTCCATGCTTTGCTTGATATTGCAACTTCTCCAGATTCCCCTCTGCGGTTGACATTGATTTCCATCATTGCTATTTGCTTCACGCCCGTTTACTCCGTTCTGCAATGGCGGTCTACGTTTCCAATTTCCTGTTTTGTCTAAAGTATCCATATGGCGTTTCCTTTCGAGGATTGTACAATAAAGAAAGTGGGAAAGGCACTTTCGGTTCGAGCAAGATAATTTCTGTTACAACAATCCCCGTAGCCTCACAAGGATAAATCAAGGTTGTCGAGCTATCAGTTAAAAGCTTTCGCAAATATCGATAGACGCAAGAATAGTGCTTTTTGGTGAATCACGGCATGTCCACATAACATGAAGAATCCCATTCGACTCCCAACCCCAACGCCAGAGATGTAAAAAGAATCAAGACAGGAAAAGGCCAGAGGCCATAAGATAGGCATGAAAGAAAAACAAAGAGAGCACGAAAGAGCTTGATTTAAACCAAGCTTATTTCGCACGAGCAGGGTTCGACCGCTTTTCATTCGACCGCTGCTTACGTTCATTACGCTTGATACGCTCCTTGCGCTCAGTCCGTGAGATGCCACGAATGTTGCCGCCCTCAGCGTTAGCCTCAGCCTCCTTCTTCCACTTCTTCTCATCAACCTCAACAAGCCATTGGTTCTCGTCGTCCTTGTTCTTGCCCTTGTAACCCCAGCGCGGCACCCACTCGCCAGTAGCCTCGTCGTAGACGAGCTTCTTGCGACGCTCCTTGTCCTGGCCAGCGGCACCGGGCTTCTGGCTGAACTTGCCGATACCCTTCTTGCGGGCGAACAGCTCCCATTTCGTGGGCGCCTTGGGGACGGGAAGTGGCTTGTGGCGCGGGAGGTGGATGTTAGGCGCTGGCAGGGTGAGTAGCACGCCTTCAGAGACGGAGGTCTTGATCTCGCAGGTTGTCAGGAGCTGGTTGAGCAGAACTTGAACGCCATCGCGTGCTGTCGCTTTCAGCGAGTCGTTCAGGGTTTGGTCCGCGGGGAGCTCCAGGGGGTTAGGGTCGTTGACGAGCAGATGGCCCAGGTCGAATGTGTAGGGAGTGGGCTTTGAGACAGTGATAGGCCTGGACATGGGATGTTAGTTTCTCTATTTTTCTATATTTTTCTTCGTTTTCTTCGTGTTCTTTTCTGGGGTTTTGAACGTATATCCGGTTCGGGAAGAGGGTTTCTTACAGTCTCTCGATCTTGGAACCAGCCGCAGGCGCGGAATTGGCCATCTCGGTATCAGACATAGTGATACTAGTAGTATTGGTTATTGATGTTCAAAGGTTGGTATCAGCCCGAGGAAAAAAAAAGTTGGTTATCAGATACAGCCGCTTTTCCTTTCTGCCATGACTAAGGCATCTCGACCGCCTTTACTTCTTAGGGCGGGCGGATTTCGCATCAAATTATTGACCGAAGTGTTACCTGCTGTTGTTCTCTCAGCTCAATTCCCACCCACGTGTCCATCTCAGCACCGGTTGTCCTCTCACTGGCCGCGCCGGTGTTTTTGACAACAATGGCCTCCTCGTGGTGCTGGAACTGCCTCTCAAGGCTTCGTCCGACACCGCGAGCACTCCTCCCGCCGTCCGCAACGCCCCGGATTTCCAGCGCCCCCTTCCACTCCACCGCCGTGCACTATGCCCAGCCGGCCAAGAAGAAGGGAAACAGCTTGACTGTCGTGAAGCACAGACAGTCAACCAGCTTGAGAAGGAAGAAGAAGAAGGTTGCTGATCGCGGCGGCCGTCCCCCGGCCGTGGGTGAGCGCAAGGCTTTGCGGAAACGCATTGTCCTGAGCAACCCCAATGCCCTCGAAGTTGAAGGCATGCTAGAGCTGTCCCCGGAGACTATGGTTGATTCCCGTCTCCGTGGTACTGTTCTAGGGTTGCCTGTACCGATGATCGATCAATTGAGAGCAGTGCAAGCCTTCAAGCCCAAACAGGGCTGGTCGATATTCCGTCGACCTGGAACGGTCCTCCGACGTGATACCATTGAGATGGGACGTTTGTTTGAGAAGATCTCTGGGGAGGGTGATGATGCTCAGAAGGGCAAAGTGGTCAAGAAAATTGTCACTGGCATGAAGGGGTCTGGTAAGACCGTGCACCTCCTGCAGGCCATGGCCATGGGCTTCTTGAAGAAGTGGGCTGTAGTCACTATTCCCGATGGTAAGCGGTACCTTTTGCTGATGTATCTTGCAATCTTTCAGCTGCTGACTTGTCAATCTTTCAGCCCGAGAGCTTGTGTCCGGAGACACCGCCTACGCCGCTATCGAAGGTAGCAACCCCCTGCAGTATGTTCAGCCCAGTGCGACCTCAGCTCTATTGACTCGCACCGTCGAGGCCAACCGTGAGCTCCTGGCTAGCCTGAAGGTCTCCCAGAACCACCCGGCTCTGAAAACGCTGAAGCCTTCCTCGACCCTCGAAGATCTCGCCAAGCTTGGCTTCAATGATCCTGCTGTCTCATGGCGCGTCTTCCAGGCTCTCTGGGCCGAGCTTACTGCTACTGCCCCTGCCGCAGGATTGGAGAAGGACTTCAAACCCCGTCCTCCTATGCTTGTTACCGTGGATGGTCTGGCCCACTGGATGACGGAGAGTGCCTACCGCTCCGCCGAATATAAGCCAATTCACGCCCATGATCTTGCCTTCGTCCACCACTTCCTCTCCTTGCTGAAGGAAGGCGATTCCCTGAAGAACGGCGGTCTCCTCCTTTACGCCACCTCATCCTCGAACAGCCCTAGCCCCGCGGCTCTCAAGATTGCCCTGGAGCGCCTCGCCGCCCGCCAGGCCGGTATCAGCGCCTCCTCGCCGGAATACCCGCAACTACCAGCCTACAGCGATGCCGACCCTCGCGTTCTGGAGCTGCTTAAGCCTGTAGAGAAGGCTGTTAGCCCCCTCGAGTTGCAGACGCTGGGCGGTCTCACTCGCGACGAGGCTCGTGGTTTTATGGAGTACTTTGCTCGTAGCGGCCTGCTGCGTGAGATCGTCAACGATCAGTGGGTGAGCGAGAAGTGGAGCTTGTCTGGCGGCGGTATCATCGGCGAGCTGGAAAAGTTCGGCCGTCGTGTTCGCGCCAACGCTGCCGTCTCGAAATAAGGGTTCCATCTTGCATTTCTCTCTCTTGTCTTATCTCCGGCTTTCAAATTTTTGTTTCACGTTTACAACTGTATATCAGATCCTGGGGTTTTCCTTGTGTGTTCTTTGCCCATGTACTTTACAAATCTCACTTGGTCCGCTTGTGTCTGTATGCATATAATGGATCTGTTTTGGAAAAGTTTTTTTTTTCAACCTGGTACCTCACCATTGCGCCAATGAGTCAGTATCTGGATTGCACCACTGATTAAATACTAATCTGAGCAGCACTTTTCGAAGCCCAACGTTCAATCGATCCTCTATAGCTGTTAAAGAAAGTTTTACATTGGTTCAAGTCCCACCAGTGGACAAAAAGCCATCTAATCCTAAGGCATTTGTTAGCTTGGAGTAAGACGAAAGACCAGGGAGCCACAGCCACTAACCAGATCAATGTAATCCATCTATCCGCAATTTCTTCAGACTCGCTTCAACAGAAAGCCTCTAGCTATTGGCATCGTTGCCAGCGAAGTTCGCGTGGGTCTCGGACTGGTTGTGTGCACGGCAGGGCGATGTATACTTCGTGGTGAGGACGATTTGAGCGCGCACACCGCGGGCTTCCATCTAATCGGCAAGCCTTTTTCGGATTTTTCGGCTTGGTAGTTATTTGCCCGTTTTTTGTTTCCTAAGTCCTTGGGCTAGTTGGGGGAAGAAAATCCAGAAGCTGATTGATTGGTGCTATACATCGTGCTTTACATACGTGTCAATGAAATTGCCTCCGTTCTCGTGGTATGTATCCAGGATCTGAAAAGAGGTCTCTTTGTTGCAGAGGCCGAGGCGTTCTTTCCTGTTTCGGTGTTGGCTTTAATAGTACACCATATGCGGAATTCAATGTGTTGATCATCTATCTTGAAGTATCCTGAGGCAAGGTATAAGATGTCCTCGTCAATTCCCAAGTCAGGTTAGATCTGGGTTTGGGATGGGAGGGTTAACCCCGTTTTGCTGCATTGTATATATATAATTCAATATAAGATGCATGTTCAAATAAATGTTCAAGTAAATTATGTTGTTCGTGCTCGTTCTATTTCAAAAGCTCGGAATCCGCAAGACTTTCACTGACCACCTTCATATCCAAGCCTCTCCCCGTCTGCATCCCATTCGCAACTTCAACACACTTAGTCTCATTGTCCCTGGCCTCATCCTCGCCATGCTCCACCTCATCCTTATCCTCATCGTCATCCACGTCCTGGAATTATGGGTCATCAAGATCGCAGTATCGGTCGTGTATATCATCCACGATCTCCCGATACTCTTTCGTATATTCATCAAGTTCGGAGTGGTCCTCTCCGAGAACACCACCCCAAGTTTCCTGCTTTGGGGAAATAATTACTGGGCCCGGGGTCCAGTCAAATGTCCCATCGTCTTGAGTAGCATCGTTACCAGACATGGATTTGGCCTTCCCATTTTCAACAGGAGGTACAAGTCCCCTGCCTTGGCACCGGGGACACTCGCAGTTCTTTCCAAACAGCTGCACAGCGTGTAGATTGAGATCGAGGTCTTCACCAACAGGATCAGCAATCCGATAACGTTGATACGGAATTCTTATCTCTTCCCCAGCTTTGATGTCCTTGTTCGCCCAGATGACTACGCGGTTGGGGACCTTGTCATCGTATCCCCACTGGGCATTCTCAAAAGGGCGACAGGAATGGTTGAACATGCTTAATCCGGGGAAGAGGTAGAAGTTCCCAAAGGATGGCTCCATTGCCGAGAGATCTTCGTTTCCGTCTCTCATTCTACTTTGTAGTCTTGGGTGTAGCCCCGGTTTGGGCCCATCTCTGTGAGTGAACGTTAGATTTGCACCTCGCCGTGCATGCTCCCAGGGAACAGCATTGACCAGCAACTTCCGCAGCACAATCTGAATAACCCAAGTATCAAATGAGAGGTCACTGAATATGTCCACTCCAAGGTTGAAAAGAATATCGAAAGGTATTTGGATATTACCAGCCAGCGTAAAAGGGAACCAGCTGTTCTTCCACGGCTCGTTCGTGTCTGTACCTGCCTGAAGGACGAGGAGTTCGTTAATTTCATGCGCGAGAAGATTAGGGTCCTCTTGGCGGCGGTGGAGCGTAAGTTCGAGCACACTCTTCAGGAGCAGACTCAGAACAGTCCCGTGGCGTTCATTGGTGTGAGTGAAATACTGTGATCCTCCCCACGTCACTTTGTTAGGTCGCATTGCATCGTGCAGCCAGCCCCAATCGAGGCCACAGAATTCTTGGAAATGGTATGTTTCACGCGCAATAGCCAAGCAAAGGGGGGCCGCGCCGTCTGATCTTGCATCGTTGAAAGAACAGAATAGCAGACCGCCCCTCGTGGCTCTGAAATATCCTACATCTGAACATTTACACGTCATGTCAAGACACGCACAGTTAGACGGGTGTAACCTTTGAGAAAGGAGCATCGGATTACGAATGAAGTCCCAGTTTTCTTTGATGTGCCGAACTTCGTCCGGGTCGATTGCCGTTTGGCAATTGTCGCATCGTGGGGCATGGAGGGGCCCTTCACCTTCATCATCAAGCAGCCTGTTGGGGATGAGATTTCCACGAATAACGGGTTCCTCATAGTGAATCAGGGTTCCTGCTTTGATGTTTGTAGTGGCAAAGACTCCCAGGCCATTGAAGGAATTGTCCTTTGTGAGTGTTGGTTGCACCTGGCATGTCCGTTTCGGGGACTTCCCAGTTTGGACACCAACCGTGAAAACATTTGCATTGAGGGCATCGATAAAATGTGGCGATTCACGTCTCACATCCGCTTGGTCATATGGATATTTATCGGCACCTGAAATCCATCCTCGGCTCCACTCGTGTCCATAAAGGGATGGATGGAGCGCCGAGGGATTCTCTCTCCTGTGCTTGATCTCGGCTTTCACAGGGGCGCTCACTGTCATTCGTTTTTTTGGAACTGACACATCGCGATATGGCAGGGGCCTTTGAAGTTGGCCCTGCATATGGTCTTCAAAATCATCCCAACAATTCAGGGCTGCGAGGCTGAGACTGGTGATGCTGTGAAGGGCGTTCCTCAGAGTGGGAATGAAATAGTTGATACCATTTGCCTTCCTCATTTGCAGAACCTCCCTTGTCATAGAAACTCCCTTGATTTTCAATTCGATCATCAAATGCTGCTGAATGGCGTCCCAAACCCTGGTGTACATCCCGGGCCGCTTGTTTCTTAGGTTTGTCGTCGTCAGTACTTCACAGAGAAGTTCTCCACGATAGGCGTCTCCAAATGGCGAGATCAAAATGGCCCAGTAGGTAATGACAATACGCGCGGCTGTTCCAGTAAGTCGGATTGTACGGGCTCAATTTAATTGCTGCGGTGTACATTTCAAGCGCAGACATATCTGTTTTCGTAAAAGGGCTCATTACAGGCCTTGGCTCACGATGGATACCCCAGTGACTCAAGTTGCTTTGTCTCGAGATCCCAAAGCGCTCATCACATTCGTACTCCCATAGACGACGCTGTAGGTCTTTTTTTCTCCCATCTGTGCTTAGACCCCTCGATGCCAGTTCTTCTGTAAGTGCATCTTTCGTCCAAAGATCCGGGTCTCTGACGTTGAGGCCGTGTATAAACACTTTTTGTTCCATTGCGTCTAGGCCCTGCACGCCGTTATAGGTCTCGTCCAAGCCCTCCGCTGTAAATCTAGCTCGTGCATTTTCACGAGAAACAGGCAGAAGTGGATTGCTCATCAGGTGCTCATAGACATTGTGAGCCAACACATGCATTACCGATTCTTCTTCTTCGGTTGCTCGTGTGTAAGGACGATTGTCATGTGCCTTCCATGCACGTCCGAGGGATTCATCGGGCTGCTCCCAAAATCGACGGGCAAGAAATGCGTCGTCTTCTGTCAACGCTGGGGCTAGTGGCGCTTGCTTGAAGATATCTGGCCGCTTTGGAAATGGGGGTGGGTTGATGATGTCTCCCCCGGGGTAAACTTCGTACAACCGTTGCCTCGGGTCCATCTTGATATCTTATTGTATCAGGCAATTGGCAGCTGTTGTCAGGATGGGTATACGAAAGTGGAAAAGAGTATGGCAGCCCTCGGGAATTGATTTCTTTTAGGTCGCATGAGACTGTGAGCCTGACCCAGACCCAGGGAGTTGCCATGGGAGTATAAATGTCAGACCAATTCTCATACTTGCCGCAGGTCAAGACTGAAAGAAAACTCCACATCAAAGAGACCTGGGGGATTAAGAAAAGATAATCATGCTGGTTTATCTTCGGAGACGAGCGTAGTAGACCCTATAGGTCAACAAAGACCATGAAAAGTATGTGTTCATATGAAATAAACTTGCATCAGCACCAAAAGCCAACAGGAGCATCCGGAAATTTCATCTCACCAATATGCAATGAGCAGAAAGGGATCGTCGGAAGTCCTTGAAATCCACCGAGCCCACTTTTTAGTGGGAAACTTGGAGTATATAGAGGAACTACAAAACAAAGAAGGAGACGCCAACCCTAGAGTTTTCTCAAAGGCTTGTAATCACAAGCCTTGGGTTAAACCCCCGAATGCATCTCTCACAGTAGATACTTGTACATATGTCCAATAGATAGGGTGTCCCAATAGGTTGTGCGTTGTCGGGTGCACTGGGAGTTTCGTGGGGGTGAACCGTGCTGACCCAACCCCAACTCAGCCCTGGAGCCTGGAGAAACCCCCTTAGACACTTTTGAGAAGACTGGACTTTTTTAAGATTCTTCATGTCTTTCTGAAGTGCCTAAACTGCTTCGAATCACCTTACCATGCATGGACAGTCGAATCATCATGATCCTCCCTTACAGCCAGAATGGCGACTTCCTCCGCGTCTTCCCTCGCAGCCGTCGCAAACAAGGCCTCCGCCTCCTCCGCCTCCTCCGCCTCCCCCACGTCCCCAGGTTGCTCAATATTCACCGGCCACCTATGGACCGATTTCAAATCCACAGAGGCTCCCATCAACGAGTGGTGCGGATACAACCACATGGGGAGTGCGGTTCAACCAGAGCTCCGTTCCCCCGTTGCCGGTAAGTCCAATGCCGAAATGCCAAAATGCAAAAAACCAACAGTTGCATAGCCTCGACCTCCCAGTACCAATGAGCAACGATATGCCTATACGCAATCTCAGTCGCATCCATCTGTCACAGCTCCTTTTCATGGGACCCAAACCCCTCCGCCCCCACCTCCGTATATACAAACACCACCGCCGCCACCGCTACCTCCACCACCCAGTGTTCCACAACTGCCCCCAAAGATCCCACAAGGCATCCAACATGTATCAACCAAACCAAACGATCAGACGGGGCGGGCTTCACTGCTCGCTCAGAGCGCAGGACCAGCTGCGATGACTGGATCTTGCGAATTCCACCCTGCGCCTACTCTCAATACAAATACTACATCTGTTGGCGCATCCGCTTTGGGTCTTGGAACACCCTCGGATTGGGAGCATCTTGGCCTAACCCCTGGAAATTTCGATGATGCAGCGTGGTTCCCACCTCGCAGGATGTCCCCTTTGCCTCAGGGGGGGTTTCAACCGCCACCAAGCCTTCCAAGCGAGATTCCTAACGTGTTTGTGGGAAGTGAGTCTGACATGGTCGCTCACCTGAGAACAGACAAAGATAAAACTCCTTCAAGCACTACCTCTGGGGCGACACAGTCAGGACGGGGTGGCTCAAATTCACCCGTCAGTCCATGCACACATGGAATACCCCAGCCGCCTCCACTGGTCCGCACGGAAACCACCAAGTCTGCATTGTCTGTAGGTGTATGTTCAGAAAGCATGGAAAATGTAAGAGATGGAATGGTTCGCCCATTATCGCCTGCGCACAAATCAGTTCAACCGGAACAGCCGAGCAACCCAGGCGCATTCTATCAAAATAGCCCAGTAGAGCACTCACATTCAGCGCAAACCACTTCTTCATCTTTCGACAATTTGCGATCGAACTCGAATAGTTCTGCACAAGTGGTCGAAGGACCCAGAAGAGCGGCTACGCCGAAAAACCAAGATCCCTTCGAGGATCTGGACCCCTGGTCCAAATCATCGTTAGAAAGATTTGTCGCCATGCTACGTAAAGAGACAGTGGCTGACACAGATGAAGAAAGATACAAGCTCTTCACGGCTTTTATGGCGAAAGAGACCAAGCTCCGGGAGATTCTCTATAATATTGAACATGAGCCTGAAAGTAAAGCACTGACTCCGCGAGCTCCTGATCCTGCTGCTCCCCAACCGCTGTCCATTCCCAACAAAATTGAGCCACCTGTTGAGTCAGGACTGATACCCGTTGCAACAGAGGATGAAGATTTCGATGATGTTCGCAGTGAGTACAGTTCAGGTGGTCGGCCTCTGCTTGCTAAGCAAGCGCAACGGGACTCGCAGTTCATGCCTCGTTTATCAACTCTGTCCTCAGGCGCAGAGTCGAGTCTCCCAAGACCCTTATCAATCATGTCGACAGATACGCAGAAGCAAGTCTTGGAGCCCCTGACTACGAACCCCCCGCGACTCATATACACGCCATTCCAGTATACAGAGGGTCCTCAGCGGGGCTCGGATAACCTCACCTTTTCTCGCCCGGCCTACCAGGCCTATTCTGATCTACGACAAGCGGCTATAAGCGGGCGAGTCATGTCAAACGCACTGGCACCTACATCTCGACCGAGGTCAAACACTGCGCTTGCTTCTCCAGCTCGAAACGAGGCAGATGAAACCTTCCTGGGTTTAATCCGTCATAAGAGCGTCGCTTATTCTAAGCCGGCTGAGCGAAACTCTCCGCCACTTCCATTGCTGCCAGAAGCTCTTCGCCATGGCCGGCCGAGGGACCTTGTGGAAGGACTACGCACCATGGTATGGACACCCTTGGACAGACAGTCGGAAAGCTCCTGGCACGTCACGACTCGAGAAGAACTCGGAAAGTTCCCTGATGATTTGTCGTACATCAGACGGACCGTAAATCAATGGGAAGAAACAGCGCGAGCCAGACGGCAACAGTTGGAACAGGAGCGCGTGGCTCGTCAGGATGAATCCGAGCAGCACATTGATGATCTTTTCAATGGGAAAGAGATCGGGTATGCAGACATCAATACGTTGGAAGAAGACTTTCGGCAAATCGAAGCTCGGATCCAACTAGAGGAGGAACGACACGAAGTAGATGATTTCATGACGCATTTCTTCAACCCCTTGGATGCAGGCCTGAAAAATGAAATCTCGGCGCTTCGCAAATCCTACGACTCTGCTCTCAATCAACTCGACCGTGATCAACAGGGCAAGGGCTCGCCAAGCGAGCGAGGCAGCCCATCCGTGACCATGAAGATGGTCAACGACATTCACAAAAAGCTTGAAATCCGATTTCAGAAACGTCTGGAATTGGCCCTTGACTGTGAGCGACGACGGAAGAGGGCTGAGCGACGACCACTTGTGGTCATGGGTGATATAGCTGGTCTGCAAAAGCTGGACGGCGAATTTGACCAGATGGAACGGCGAAACATTTTAGAAGCATGCAAGGATCGTGATGATCGAGCCAACCGACTCATGGATTCCTTCGACGATGCAATCTTGAATGGGCTAGGCATAAATCAAACCCTCCTTGACGAGGTTGCCTCGAAAGCAGCCCAGCTAGATACCACCACCCTCCGAGCCTCCGGTCTACCGCACTCTGAAATGGAGCAGATTCTCAAGTCCGCGGCAACCTTTGCGGCGTCCCTCCGCGCCGATTCGGAGGCCATCATCCACAGCGCTGGGGTTGCAGATATGGCCCTAAACGATGCCGACTATGGAGTTTCAGTTGCCGAAGCGCGATATGCCAACTCAGATCCGGACATTTTCCACCGGCTGGGTGATGAGAAGAAAAAAGAGGATGAGAAAATCCAGGATGAACTGAACTCAAAGTTGCAGAGCATTCAGAAGGGGCCTTTGCAGATTGAGGCCACGATTCAACGCCTTCTCCTTGGCTTACACAACGACACACAAGCCGCTGCCCCCATCTTTCCAGTTCAAAGCTCTTCCCCAACGGGTCCATCTGCTGAAGTGCCTCTACCTCCCAGTCTCCGCCCTTCGACTACTAGCCCGGTTCTATCGTCCAGCCCAGCTCCCGTGAGCCAAAACACAAGTGAAGACTTGGAACATATCCAGAGGCTTCGCAGAGCGCTAGAGGCAGCCAAGCAGCGCAATGCTGCTAGGGGTCATCATTGACCGGGTTAGAAGCAAGAACAATGGAACACCCATGACACGACGAACTGCAACGAATCTTCTTGCGTTTCTACAATATACCCATTTTGTCTTTTTTCTTGTCCTATCCTTCAAATGTTTGTGTTTCTGCTGCTACGTATTATCAAAGTTAATACCCACTTTACGCAATCTATTACTCAAATGAAGAAGATAAATTGCCGATTTCAGTCATTGTGTCTCACACACTTAGTTTACAGCCAATTGATCCTGCGTGAGCCCCCCATCTTGTCTGATTTGTTCACAGCAGTCATGTTTATAAAAATATTCTAAACAAGACTGTGGATATCGAAGTTCAAATGTTGCCTACTTCGACAACGCAACATTTGACGGAATCTTTTCCCCTCTTCTTGTCTTACTGAGGTAGTTTTCTGGTCTTGTCTTGTTGGCCATAGAAGTCAGCACCAAAACCTTCTGTCCTAATCATCCACAGAGCTCGCAGGACGACTTTGATGATAGACCTGATGGGTGAACCCACACCTTTCCCCCCTCCCAAAAGACCCTTAAGGGCTCCGATGCATTTGGAGGGTGCGCTAATTTCACTTTCGTCTCCCTTCGCGCCACTGTGGCCGCGTCATGGGCAGGGGCCAAATTCAGCCAAGTGATTCGACATGCAGGACGGGGGAAAAAAACGCACAGACGATATCTTTGAACCCTCAAGAACCAAGCTCAATGAAGTTAGTCATAACATACGTCCTGTGTAAGACTGGTCGTAGTGCAGAGCAAAGTGCAATTTTGAGGCGCCGAGGGATAGCGATTGGCAGGCGATAGCCAAGCCAATGAGCTAAACGCCAGCTGTTGCCGATCAACGGTATTGCGCAGTCAAAAGTGCCTGTCACAGCTCAACAGACCTTGTCTCGAGCTGCCCTGGTACTTGGGCCGGATTAGCTTGCAGGGATAGAGGATTACCCCCAAACCCAATCCCCGATGTGGCGGGTCTTCCTGCGCCGCACAGCTCCCTGTGCGCCGCCCTCGGATTCGCTGCGCCCTCGCACTATACGAAGTACAATGGATATCACCCCCGGATGACTTGCGGCCGAGAGAACACCGCAAGCAAAATAGTCTCCTGCGCAGGACTTTTGGACCATTTGACATGTCGTCTTGTTGGGTTACACTTCGGCTATCCACTTTCCAATGATTGATGCTCACTCTGCGCGATATGCATAGCAGATCCCTGTTATCATTAACGCATCTTTGATGATCCGGAGACATCATATGGTGTCGGAGAAATCAAGACACTGTGGCGTATACAGCTAGCTTATTCTGGGCTGCGCTCGCCGTAGGGATTGGAGCATTGGAATTCTCAACGGGTTCTCTCCATATCTACCAATAACCTAATCACCATCCTCCTTTGGATTGGTCCTTTCCATTCACCTACGTTGATGAACAAGGCTATCAACTGCGCTTTCTACGTTTTTCTTTTTTCAGGCATGGTTGTCGCGTGGATTGGCCGTGTGACACCTGGACAAAAGAGCCTCGGGTCCCCGACCTATCCGAGGGCCATGGCATCATGGTAATGCTCCACTACGGAAAATACCAGGGTGCAATGATCGCCAAGGGAAAGGGAACTTATCCGAATGGCGGGTCCAAGTCATGCTGTGCTGGAGCTTTGAAACAATTTCCAATTTGCTTTCGGTTGCTCGGGCGGCGATCGCAACTTGTGCTTCTACGTTGTAGGGTACAGGCTGGTTTTTATCTTGTCCTGTACAGGGAGGAGAGTACAGGTCTACCCAGCTTCTGCGGCATCGTGCATGCGCTTTTTCCCTGCGTCAGGGCTAATATCAAGCTCGCCAACGGCGTCTACGCATGCGAATACAAAATGCCAGCTTTGCATTGGCCATCTGTAGAATCAGCCACCTGGTGACTCTCGCGGATCTACATACAGCATACCAAGATTTAAACTTTTTGTCAATTCTATTTACATCTTTTCCAGTCGCATAGATAGCTCTCAGACAAGGCCAGCGCAGCATCTTTACTAGATATGGCCCTGTGTCCTCGGAGACCGCCGTAGTCATCCTCGGGGCAACACTCTATTCCCGGGTGCCAACCACTAAGCCCCGGATCTTTCTACCAGATCCCCCGTTAGTGGATGCCTGTGCGCTGCGCGATGATGCTGATCCCATGAGATGGTGCCAGGTAGGATTAAACGGTGCAGCCTTGTCGAGACATCACCCCTACGATTCTCTCCTGTGGCACCTCCAATTGAGCCTCTAAATTTTCCCCTCTTTGCGACCTGAGAGAGCTAACCTTTCACTAAGCGCTGTTGGAGGGGGGAAAAACCTTGCAACAGCAAAGACCCAAAGACCGATCCCCCCCCCACAGTGAAATTTGAGGCAATTCTTTTTGCGCAGGTGAAATGAGAACAAAAGCATGAAATGCATAGTGCCTCTTCAATGGCCCCTGATTATTTAAAGCGGGCGCCAGGGAGGCCCGTTCCATGGTTCAGTGTACCCGCTTCCGTCCATGGGTCGGGAGAACTCTGTGAGTCTAGGAAAGTTCACCGTATGGGAAAATACGTCTGTTCTTCGCATTCTGTAGCCCCTCTTTGATTTCCTTAGAGGAGGCCCGTCTTATCCCTTTTCTTTTCGTGTCATGTCCGCTCCAACAGGGCAACTTCACAGGCTGTCCATTGGTCGAAACATGCCAGTTACAGTCCTGCCTGCTAGAGCGGCCCGCGCGGGGCGGTCAGACACTTCCAACGACGACAGTGAACGTGGAGAGGATAGATCTTCAGAGGAGAGCTCTAGTGATGGAGAAGAGGAGGAGGAGGATGACGATGAAGAAAGCAGCAATGACGAACGGTCCGAATCCAATAGCGCCTCCGTCCTCGCAACGTCCGGCATTACCTATGACCTGAGCCAACTGGATTCCGAGTCTGAAGCCAGAGCCATCGTGGGCTTGACCAGCCGTTTTGATGTTGTCAACTGTCGCTCTACTCCCGCTGGGTATGACTTCCAGCTGTCGGATCAACCACGGGTGCACATTGGCGCGGATTCGTCCACCTGCACTTGTGCGGTCTTCCAGGATCAACCGGTTGGGGCGTGCCAGCACATCTTTGTGAGTATGCCTTTTGAGAAAGGAAGCTTGGAAGCTGAAGGGCTTGAACTGCCAATACTAACCCCATCCCCTGAACAGTGGCTTGTCGATCAACTGCACGGCTGCTTCCTCCCCACACCTCGCTCGACGGAGGTGACACTAACTCCAGATGGACGTCCGGACCGCCTCCCCCGCATTGAGGACCTGCTGAAAGATAATCTGATGTCAGTCGCAACGCAGCTCAAGTGGCAGTACCTACGAGAGGAGGATGGAATGACGCGAACAGAGAAGGTCCGGGACATCTTCTCTGCATTCAGCGACAGGACTCTTCCAGAAGACACCCGCCGGGACTTGACAGAGACAACTGAGCAGGCACGAACGGCAGAGCAGTGCGTGGTCCAGGGAGATTTCGAAGCGACAATGTTCCGGCTTGCAGTGCACGACGATGGAGTTTTCAACAGCCTCTGCAAGGCAATGCCCGCAGGCGCGTGTGCGGCCATATACTTCGACAAAGTACAAGAACAGTCACGCCGACTGCTCAACGACTTTGACCGATACTGCGCCACCGGCGAGTTGCCCGCGAACCCCGTGAGCCCAGGTCTCGGCGTAGAGGTCAACGACGTCGTAACACAGCTCCAGCGTTCTGTATCCCGGATTGAAGTCAACATCGCAATGCGTGCCCCTCACGGCTCTGAAGGTGCTGCCGAAGCCCTCGTGTCTCTCCTGGAGTCCGTCGTGGCTCGCAATAATGATCCTCTCGAAGGCAATCCCCTGGGTCGGCAGTCCTTCCACGGCGAGGATGAAGACCAGCGCAATCTATACCACTTGCTCATTGGGTCGGTCGAAACAGACTCCGAAACAGACGCGCGGCACTTTGTCCTTCACGCGCTTGATGCCCTGCCGCCGGTGGACCTCCACCAGTGCGCCAACCGGCTGCGTGACATCCTCCGCAAGATCGAAGTCAACCGTGCCCCGAAGCCATATCTTCTCCATCTAGGATCGTTGATTCGTATCGCTGAATCGGCCGCTGCCGCTGCTATCGGATCAGGGCAAAAGCGACCGGCGGTTGGGAATGGTAATTCGGGGGGATACTCTAAACGAACCCGTTGAATTGTTCTCGATCTTTTTTTCCACAAATGTTTATTATCTTGTTCTGGGAGGCTACCTGTTCATTCATTGCAATACCCCGCTGCATCATGTCTTTATGTTTCATCAGCGACAAATCGCACCAGTCCTATTTTGCTTCTCAGTCATGTCATGTCATTCATTTACGATGTCCGACCATCAGAGCCATTACTATTGCCATAGTCAGTTTCACATACTATCTCTATCACAGGCAACGCAAACAAAGTTTCTAAATCCATTGGAGCCATCAATATACATGACAAGTAAACGCAAAATACGAGTCCGATGAGAACATGTCGTCATTCCCAAACCCAGCACGACGGCTTTGGGACCCCGCGTCCATGGTCCAGTCTCGTAAGCCGGGTGTCACCGCTCCCACCCACCTGGACAGAGGATTGAGCTAGCCCGATTGATGAGATTGAACCACGGAACGAGCAGCCGGTGGAGTGTGGGTCAGCCACACTTTGAAAATGTCTCGTCAATTTTCGAATTTTCTCGTTCTTGGGCGCCGAACAAGCACACGAATCAGCAAGACCCGAACAAAAACCCAGATCAAGATAGGGGACCATCCATGGATACAGTATCCCAAATGTCGATCTTGAGATCCAGATCCGTGCGATCCCTTCGCACATGCGACAACATGTCTCCTAACGTCTTGAGTACGGATGGCTCCGTATAAATACAGGGACTACACGGCATCCCACTTTGAATTTTCGAAACTGCCCCTCAATCCACGCCCAATGCACAAGTCAAGTTCGACAGCGCTCACCAATAACGCTCCGCGAAAATGCGGTGTAATCGTACGATTGGGCATACACTATACGTACCTTGTAAATTAAATTAGATTGTATGCATAATTAGGCCATTGGGTTCTACGTGCACTCAAAGGTGGATATTATCATAGCAAGCTTTTTTGACTTTTTGGACTTTTTTGACAGGAATTGACGCCCAGTGTTCAACCCCCGAGATTAGGCCGTGAAAGTCAATTTTGGGCCGTGCACACGGCTATGTTCCTGGATCCGGAGGGCTAATTTGCTTAGTGCTATTTAGCTCATGGCGCGGGCTTGTCTTCGTGTACTCCGTAGGTGGACACCTGCTACAGAGGTGCTGTATATTATGACAATGGCAATATATGAAAGGATTTACCAAGATGGTGTTCAAGGCAATGGAGAAAGTGCGCATGGGCGCGATGGATGTATTTCGGCCCTGAGAAAGAACTCTGCAAGTTGTTCGAGTTCTACTAGCAGCAACTGGCAAGTTTGAAATTTTACTAGCTCTGTGGTTGAATTCCAGCTTAGCCAGAAAGATGCACGAGGGTTATGTCCAGTTGGGCGAGTAAAGGGGACCAGCTCGCACTATGTAGTTCTTGCCCCCGGGTATAGAAGAGCCATGTAGCTCTGCAATGTACAATCACCATGTATGAAACTACGAGCTTTTCAGCGAAGGATGATTGAAGCTTTTGCCTAGTTTCCTCGGATGATCGAACCTACATAGTCAAGGGAAAAGGCTTCAAAAACAGTTGACTATTCTAAATGTGCATAGCATGTGTTGAGAAACTCCCAGTAAAAAAATTTAAATCTGGAAAGAACCGCAAGCATTCCCAGGACTGTGCATGTCCATCCCACGGTTCAGAGTAACTTGTCGAATCTTGATCCACGGATGACCTCCGACGCCTATTGCGAGTTTTTCTCGGCGATCGGCTCACAACTAGACCACCACTCCGGTTCAGCACAACCTGTTGACAACCACAGAAAGCCAACCTAGCATAAACAAGATCTTCAGTCAAAAAAAGAGCATGCGGCGAGTTTTAGAAGAACCCCCTGAGATACTCACTTGTAGCAACTGGAAATCATGGAAGAATGAGATCAAGAAACACGCTCGAAAAGAGGGGGTCTGGAAGTACTGCAACCCCGATGCCCCAGCTGAATACTACCCCGAGCTCCATGAACCCGAAAAACCACACATTTCTACCGTTTGACCCGAAGTAAAATCTATCGTCGAACTTGGGGAGGATAAATTCATCGAACTGTCCTCGATCGTGGACCAATACTGGAAGCAGATGCGCGTATACGAAAAATATTCAAACAAAACTGCAGGTCATCTTCGAGCTTATAGAGAACCATGTCGATTACAACCACTTGAGTCTCATTAAGAACGCGGAAACGCCGCTGGAGCAGATGGTGGTGCTATCTGTTAAATTCAAGAAATCTTGCCTAGAAGATCTGCAGCCAAGGTGGGAGCGTATACAAGAAATGGCTAATAAGCCGGATGTACAAGAGCTATTCCAACAATGGAACGCCCTGTTCACAGATTGCGATAGGTATCTCTCTGGTGCTGCTCGAAGGAGGGATGCCTTTTGGGATTGTGTCGAGACAGCGAGAGATCTATCAAGAAACCGGCTGCCTCTCACTTCCCAGCACTGGGTTCAAACCCCTGGCCATTTTGAGTCGAGAAACTATGGATATGACCGCGCTCAAAGCCCTTCACAAGCAAGGCGGGAGTCTATCACTTCCCAGTACTGGATTGAATACTCCGACTATAGCCGATGAATGGGGATGATTGCACTCAGCCTCATCCACCGACTAGACGGGAGTCTGTCACTTCCCAGGGCTGGGTTTCGACCCCCGATAATTCTGAGACAAGAAACTATGGGAATAATTGCATTCAACCTTATTCACCCGCTAGAAATGAGCCGGAGTCGACCACTTTCCCGGGCTGGTTTGAAACTCTCGACCATGGGAAGGCGAAGAACTTTAGGGATGATTGCGCTCGACTTCGTTCACGAGCTAGACGGGGGTCTGTTGCTTCCCAGTTCGGTCTTGGCTACTGCGAGCCAGCGATCTCCACTGAACGCACGTCTTTGGATCCTCGGTCCAGTTCTGTGGCAGCTCAGAGTGATCAGCGTGAAGATTTCTCCGGCAACAGTTTGGAGACAACGGGTCTTCTACGACGATTTGACACTGCCCCGGACGAAAGAATGCGAGACTTGACTGCAGTAAGCTGCATGAGTGGCAGACAAGACTGCTTTAGCTTTATGTGGGTGACTGTTTTTCTGGTGTAGAACTTTATGTTTTCTCGTCGGATCCATTCTCTTGATCAGAATAAGTCCAGCATCAGTCTCAACAGCGAGGTATTGCCTATGGTGCACCATGATTGGGTCCTTCGACGCTCCGCATCACACCCGTTTTCTGCAGAGGGATGAGACAGTAGTTCTAGTGGTGAAATCTAGAGTGGTGTCTCCTGTAGATGTCTCCATGACTGACAAATTGAACTGTGTTATCCAATTCAAGCATAAGGTTAAAAAGCCTAAACACTCTCTACTAACTACGGCATAATTTCCTCAGAAGAGAGGAGGAAGGAATTTAATTTTGATGAAAACTGACGAAATAGCGTGTGGAAGCCTGACAAGTCATTCCTCGACATTTCGCATTTCACATTTCGCACAAAGAAGACCCCTCTAAAGATACCTATAGTGATGTTTTATATATTTAATTCCTCATGCCATCTTAGGCCAGACAAATTAGACGACGAGTGGCTAAGTAGTCATGCTTCAAGACCATCTCAAAATCCTCTGGTTTTTCAACTTTGATTTATATAACACATCTGGGCACTAACTTACAATATCAGAGGCCGGCTGGCCCAATGGCAAGGCGCTTGACTACGAATCAAGAGATTGCAGGTTCGATCCCTGCGTCGGTCACTCTTTTTTTTCGTTCTCAAGTTCCTGCAACGGAGAATGCCCTCTTATTTTGCTTTTCATATCGATTTATGAAATCCTTGGCCAAAAACAGCCGATTTCTAGAGTTTGCGATAAGAATTTTATATTCAATTGGTGCGAATTGTTAAAAAATTATCGAAAGTGTCGTTACCCGGAGGAGATATATATGTCCCAGTCTCATCATCGCACCTCGGTCGCTCAGTTATTTTGACGAAACGACCAAATTGTCAGAGGTCACGAAAAGGTGAAGTCGAATTCAATTTCGACATATACAGTATTCATCCCGAGAGACTTAACAAAATCCAGCGTTGAATCTTCCCCTCCTCGGTCTCATTAAATACCTCAGTCAAGGCATCCATCTTCTCAGTCCCACAATGCACGGTAACAACACCCCTGGCAGTAAAATCCACAGTCTCGATGGCCTCCTTCCGACTCCTAACTACCGAACCCGTAATCGACCATTGCTTGAGAATCATCGTAGATGGGAACGCCGTCGCAATAGCCTGGGGGTCATTTTTCGGAATGCGCACACAGACCACCGTGCCACTGAGACGCAGCAACGGCAATGCCTGCGCATATGCCGCATTCACAGCAGTACGGACAACTGCAGCGTAAGTCTTCAGCTTACCCGTAAGCAAATGAACGTGCTTCCTCAGCGCGGCGCCATTATCGTCCCTTAGGAACTGCGTTTTGTCCACGAAAAGATCCGCCCCAGATTCCTTGACTAGTTTTTCTTTGCTGCCGTGGACGACATCAATCGCTCGCTGGCCCCTCCTCCGGTCTGAAAGCTAAATTATCAGGTGGCATAGGCCGCTACCGGCACAGGAATCGTCACTCGTTACCCAGGACGCGCGTTGCTACGCGTCAGTGCAGAGTATACGGCTGTGCCCGTGAACTGGAGTGATGCTGCTGCTGCGGAGTCGAGACCATTTGGGATGGGAGTGCCGGTCCTAGTGTATATTGCTGGAGTGTTCCTGGGGTTCAGTAGCCGGAAAAATTTCTGATTGATGTACAGTCCATCGGCACTGGCTCTGGCAGGGTACCATTTGATGATGTTAGGCTTGAGTAAGGAGAGTGAATTGTATGCGCACGGCAGTGCCCACTTCCATTGGAAACCTATTTTACGCCGACCTGGTTTGAGGATTCGGTGTCTGCGCCGAGCTTGATTACCCTGCCGACAACTTCGTCGCCGCCCATTTAGCCCGGCTGAGTGGGATATCGGAACGTGCTCCAAGGGGAGTCAATAATTCTTGTCCAAGCTAGAGACAAAAGAGGTATGAATACCCCGTTGGTCATGATACTAGAGTCCGAGTGACATACACCCGAAAGTGTTCTATTCCTGTTAGTACCATTCTAGCATTGAAATCACGGCAAGGCATCAAGATTGATCAGAACCTCGCCGGCACCAGGTCCTGGGACATATCATTCCACAGCGTTGATCGAAACCGTCTCAGACTGGCCATAGATGGCGGTCTTCTGCTTGGCACGGATTTTAGGAGCGGCCACAGTGATTGACAGGTTGCATACTCAACTCTGAAGTCAATCTCAATAGGGGTTTTAGCGCCTGATAGATATCTGCAGAGCAACCACTTAACCAAATGCTGGAATGGGGTTTAAATAGACCATCCCATCTTGCGCCAAGTAGTGAAAGAAAAAGAACTAGATCAAATATGGAGAAGTTTCCGGGGTTGAATTACGGGGCTGGGAGCCTTCGAATCGATCAGTTGCACCCGCTGGATAATGCAACTTTTCCCGGATTTAGACTGTAATAACGGGAAAGCTAGCTGTTTGAATCTTACATTATCCTAATGTGTTCCTTTGTGTAGGGATGAAATGAGGGGTGAGATGCAGAGTCATTGAATGACCTCGGCTCCCCTAAGCTGCATCCTTCTATTTTCATTTATATCCATTGCTTGAATGAAAACTAGAGTTGGTTAAAGGCGTGTACTGAGGAGAAAATGCATGGGATGAAAGATCGAAAGGTGTATATATCGGAGAAACCCCAAGGTACTCCTGACCACATGCATTTCACAACATTTATGATGATGATGATGCTGAACTCATTGACCCGATCTAGCTCGCTATTACATACATGCTGCTATGCGAGGGCTGCGTCCTAGAGCCTGCTGCCAATGGCAAATGATGGTGAATCCCCAGTAAATACCACCCTATATGATGGACTCGATCTCCCGAGGTCCTGCAACCTAAAAAGTAAGGCCATAAACCGGCCGGCGTAACGTATTCGGTAAGCGAGCTGGCCACCCCAACCAAAACGCGTCCATGAATTAGATATTAGTTAGTTCAACCACCCACCATGCCACCAATTCGTACTCAATCCTCTCGAAACTCAATAGAGCAGGAGGGTAGGATTTTACTAGCTATCTAGACTTTTAAAAATCAAGAAATCTCTTCAATTCGTGAAGTGGCGCGCCGTTTTAACGTCCCAAGTTCTACCCTTTCCGCCCGCCTAAATGGTATACAACACCGCGCGATTTCTCACGCTAACTCTTATAAATTGACCGATACTGAAGAGGAATCTCTTTAGAAATAGATTATCTCTATATATTCCCGTGGATTAGCCCCCGGCCCTCTATAGTACAAGGAATAGTAGATATTCTTCTTTAAAAGCGTAGAACTACCCCGGTTCTTTCGGTCGGCGAGAAATAGGTGTATAACTTCGTGAAACGGTATCCTCTCCTCTCCTCCCGATTCTCGAAACGATATAACTACGAGCGTGCGAAATACGAAGATCCTAACATCATTATCGAGTGGTTTAATTTAGTTTAAAAGATAATCCTTCAATTTAGAATTAACCCTTGTGACGATCTAGGAGGATTTCTGCCGGAAGTTTCCGTCTTGATGAGGTTTGCATTGTTTGATTGTTGGATCGTGACAGGACCCCATAAAAGGTTCCTGTCTCGCAGGTTTCTTTCTTTCTTTCTTTCTTTCTTCTTCTTTCTCTGTACTTAGTATTCTCGTTGAAATGCACTCTTTTGTTTAAAGAACTGGCTGGTAACAACCCTAACGATATTTATAACTTTGATAAGACTAGTTTCGCTATAGGATTAACTGTAACTACGAAGGTTATTACGAGGAGTGAATACTACGGTCTGAGGCTAGTTTCATAACTTAAAAATTATGAATAGGTAACAGTGGTTGAATATACGAATGCTTCTAGGTAGGTGCTTCCTCTATATATAATTTTTAAAGGTAAAGTCTTTATTAAATCATAGTTTAACGGCCTCCTAGAGGATTAGACTTCCGCAAAGCTCGAAACCCGACCCTTTTGAGGGTCGAGTCGGGTCGGGTTTCGAGCTTTGCGGAAGTCTATAGAGGATTAGCGCTTCGAAGTTAGCCCCAACGGCTAGACTTCTAATAAAAATTAGACTTCGCTAGCTAGAGAAGGTCTTTATTCCTAGTACTTCGTATGAAAAGGGGGTATACTAGCTTTTAATTAGACTGCGGCATATCCGCTCCAATGGATATCAGATCGATCCTTATTGTCAGGGTGCGGG